CCCAGGGACGAGGAAGGCAGACCATCCACCTGCAGCCTCCGGCAAAAGTAAGAGAGTCTGGGGTTTTGTTCCTGGAGGGGGTTGTGAGTGTGTGGGTGCGCTCTATTAATCGCTTTCCCAAAATATTAAAGGAGGGTGAGTTCGTGTGTCTGCCAAAATCTGAGTAAACGCCTCTGATTTGGGGCACTCTTGTTTGTAGTGACAGGGACCAGAAGGGTTCCTGCCTTGAGCACTTCAGTAGGCAACGCTGTTCACAGGTACCCAGGTGTGTACTTGGCGGTGGCCCAGCCTGAATATTTTGGTTTTTCATTTTACTCAGTATCACCACAGATACGTTGGCTGCACTTGAGAGGGAGTCCCTGGGAGAGACTGGAGCCAGGGATGGGAACTCAGGTCTCCAGAGAAGAGAACAAGAGGAAGTAACCATTAAAGCAGTGAAACAGAGAAATTGCGGCTGAAACTCTGGCTGCACCAAAGTCAAGGGCAGAAATCCCAGAGGCTGCAATGGGAGCGGAGTTTCAGTCCTGCCTGATGAGTTACATGAGCTAAACAACTTGCTTTAGTACTTTTAAGATTTCTAAGATTTTCGTACGCGCGGTCCTTGGAGTCCTGCTGGAGCGGGGAGAGTTGTAGTGGCTCAAGCGCTAACTGGCCGGGCGCACGGCTTGCTGGGGAGCTGCCAGGGCTGAGGTTGAGCCGCGCCCAGAGCTTGTTTGGGATGATCCGGTATCACAAAGACGTCCCGTTTGAGCCTGGCTTGTGGCTGTTTGATCCTGCCGGAAAACAGGCGCCGTCGGCTCGAGAACGGTTAACGGTTGGACTCGAGGAGCTGAAAGGTCTTTTCCAACCTGAAGGGTGACTCGGGGGAGGGACGGTTGACACACCGTGTGCGGACATGATCAACGTTATGCAAGTCTTTTGAAGTAGCGGGGAAGCCATGGATGAAATAGCTTTAATTCATTTCATAAGTGATCATCTTTTAGGGTGGATGGGTATAGTACACTGGAGCCTTCATGCCAGGTACATAGGTATGAGTTAATCTAATGATTAAGCACTTCAAATAACATGCAAATGTCCAGGGTTTTAAAGATGTTCTGGTAAAGCCACGAAATTTGCATCTGTAATGATTTGATGCCTGCAGGTGCCTTTTCACATTAATTCCAAGTAAACTGCTGTCTAGTGGCTCTTGTGTTTTTGTCTGCTGGTATCCAGGTGTAAACACCGAGGCAAATTTTTAAAATTTAATTCGAAGAGTATGAGCACGTGTTTTCTGTCCAGCGGCTCGATGCTCTGGCTCCCTCCCCCTGAGGAGCAGCCCCCGGCAGCGCGTGCCCCACTTCCACCTGCTCAGTGCGAGCGCCCCGGTCCGTATTCCCGGAAA